TTAAACAAATAAGCTGCCAGGTAAAGAAAAAGGTGTTAGACTGAGAATGAGAACAAGAGACAGGGAAAAAGATGGATACAGATCCTTGTGTGGATCTACATATAAGCCCAGGAGCAATAAAAACACAAAATCCTGTGAATGTGCAAAGCAGTATTATTCATAGTGGCCAAATGTTGACACCCAAATGTCCATCAATTAGTGAGTGGACAAACCAACTACAGTATATCCATACAACAGAATATTAACTTAGACATAAAAAGAATAAATTAATGGTAGATGATACAGCATGGAAAACATTACATTTAAGTGAGAGAAGTCAATCACAAATGTCCTTACATGATTCCATCTTTGACATACTCAGAATAGCAAACAGAACAAATGAAACACAATGTGAATGAAGAACAACATGAAAGACAAACTTTGTAAGCAAACCAATATAAATAAAAACTGGGGGGGGGGGAAGTCAATTAGTGTTTGCCTAGATGGGTATAGAGGGACGAGGATAAATCCAGCAGTAATAAATAAGGATATGAGAGATGAAAATATAAACACAAGATTGTGGTGTATGGCATGCTGCATGGCTAAGGGTACAGTGTTGTTAGGTGCCGTGGTAGGTTCCAACTCTTTGCAACCCCATAAACAAGAGAGCAAAATCGTACTCCATCCTGTGCCATCCTCACACTATCTGCTCTGCTTAACCCATTCTTGCAATCACCATCCAACTCTATCATCTATATGGCTGTACTGTATGACATGTAAATATTCTTCATAAAGCTGTCACATAAAAATTAAAAAACAACATGGTTGTATAACTCAGAATATAATAAAAATCTACTTTATTAAGCTAAACAGTGCACTTTAAATTTTGGAGTTTTGCAAATGATATCTCAAAGTTATTAAAAATAATGAATCAGAACTCTCTCTTCCATATTTCATGGAGGGAGGACTGTCCCTTCAGGAATGTAACATTCTAAGAAATATAACTTTATTATTTTTACCCAAAAAAGAATCAAAAAGAAAAGTTTGGTCTATATGCCTGTTATACAAGTAGCATGCTGTTTTGGTACTACTGCTGTGCTTAGTAGGTTTTGAGGTCTGGGAGTGCTATGCTTCCCACTTCATTTTTGTTTTTCAGAAGTGCTTTGATTATTCAGGGTCTCTTTCCTCTCCAAATAAACTTGACAATTTTCTTTTTGATCTCTTTGAAATAGTAATTTGGTATCTGTTTTGGGATTGTGTTGAACACGTAGTTTGCTTTTGGCAGGATTGTCATTTTCACAGCATCGAGTCTTTCTATCCATGAACATTTCTATCCATGGGAATATTTTTCCTTTTGAGTTTTATTGTGTCTCACAGAAATATTCTGTAGTCTTCTTTGTACAGGTCTTTGGTGTCTCTAGTTAGGTTCGCTCCCAGGTATGGCATTGGTTTCTTGGTTTTCTTGAGTTCTCTTTATTACTGTAAAGGAAGCCCACTGATTTTGGATATTGAACTTGTATCCTGCCAACCTACTAAATTGGTTAGTAGCTCTATTAGTTTTTTTGTTGAGTCTTTAGTGTTTTCTGTGTACACTATCCTATCATCTGCATATAGCGACAGTTTAAGCATTTCCTTGCTGATCTGGATGCCTTTTATTTCCTTCTTTTTTATATTGCCCTAGCAAGTACTTCCAATACAATACTGAATAGAAGTAGACCTCTCTATTTTTGGTCAGGCAATTGTTTAGAAAAATCCATTATTTATGCCCATTAAAAGAAAGTTGACTCAATAAAATGCAGACATTATTAAACAGTATCATTAATATCACATGCAAGCAAAATCCTGCTGAAGATTATTTAAAAATGACTGGATAGTCTACGGCCATACCACCCTGAACGCGCCCGATCTCGTCTAAAAATGACTGGATAGAATCAAGAAGAAATCCATCACTCCTATAACTATGATAATCATTGCATTATTAATAGTTTTAAGAGGTCTGAGGGATAACAGAAGTGATAGCCTCTGATTTAGGATAATCCTTAGTAGTCATTCAAAAATCCTTGGACTCACTAGCCAATGTAGTTACAGAATGTAGACTGGCTTTAAACTTTCTTTTAGCTGAAGGTGGGGAGTCTGTGCCATTGCAAACACCTTGATGCAATTGTCAGTTACTATTTCATGATGGCACAGCTTGTTGGGTCTTGCATAAACGATGTACAGGTTATGGGAAAAGAAAGTAACTTATACTTACTACCCTGTGAAGAATTTTTCAGTAGTAACCAAACTATGAGCATGTGTACCTTAAGGACTTTTCTGTAACTCCAGAACTCCAGTTTAAAGAATTCTCCCTCCACTTCTTTCTCTTCCTGCCACAATTTTATTTGACCCCTTCACAGCCCTTTCCAATTCATTTATATCACCTAAGAGCAGTCTTCCATTAGCAAACAAACTTGCAGAAGGAGGATTGATACTAGCCAGGAAAGGCAATGTCTGTGCCCATTTTCCAATTCCTTCTGTTGTTTCTACAGAAACACAACTGGTAAGGTCGAGCTTAGGGTCCAAAAGCTACTGGCAGCAGGACAACTGAAGCCAACTGGAAAACTCTTTCTGGGGACAGATAAATTGGTATTCTCCACCTCTTGGTGGCTGTGATGCTGAACACTGTGACCTGGATGTGTCAAATGTGATATTGGTCACCCATGGTGGACAGTGTTTGGAGAAGCTCTCCAGTTAAAACAAGCTTGGAAGCAGGAGTGGCGTCCACTTCTGAAATAGCTTGCTTCTGGAAACCTTATGAACTCGGAGAAATGAAGAAAGTTCATAGGGTCGCTGTAAGTTGCCTATGACTCATAGCATTTAACAACAACAACATAGAGAGAGCTCAGTTGGCGTAGTGGACAGAAAGTGATGCTACCAAGCCAAAAGTGGGTGATTTTAATCCGAGTCTTTCAGGCCTGTTCTTAATTGTTTTTGGTAAAACATTCTTCTAGGTGGTACAACAATGCTCTGTCAATTTGCTGTACAGAGGTAACTCATGGTGGCTGTGATGCTGAACACTGTGCCCCTGATGTGCCAAATGCAATGTTGGTCACTTTTGGTGGGCAGTGTTTAGCGGAGCTCCCCAATTAAAACAAGCTTGGAAGCAGGAGTGGCATCCACTTCTGAAATAGCTTGCCTCTGGAAACCCTATGAACCTGGAGAAATGAAGAAAGTTCATAGGGTCGCTATGAGTTACCTACAACAACACAACAACTACTTCTGATCTAGCTGGACATCTGCTCCCATGCAATTTACTGCCTCTGAAAACCCACTGGAGGATCAGCTATGAGTCAAGTTTTGATTCAACAGCATATAACAACCACAGGGAAAGGTGGAAGGTCAGGGAAAGAGACAGACCCTCAACAAGAGAGACCGACACAGTGACTATGGGTTTGAGCCTATCAGAGATACTGAGGATGGCACAGGATAGGGCAAGATGTGTTGTTCAGGGGGTTGCTATAAGTTGTATTTGACCTGAAGACACCTCACAACAGGATTCCTAGTGACAACACTGTTAATAAAATTTTGAGTCCTTGCCTATTTAACCTACTAGTGAAGTTTGCAAGCAGTTGGATGTAACAATTCCACCTTAGACTGGTGGTTATGCAATATTCCAGGAGGACAAACCTAACACTGGCAAAGGCAAAATTCCTAGGCAGATAGTGAGAGATTTCTACTCTGCTAGGTAGGCCCTGTCCCCACTCAGTCCAAAGAAGATACAGAAATAGAGAATACCACCTATGTTCTTGCATAAAGAATTATCAGTAAGAAAAATCTGAAAGGAGTAAGATAGAGCAGCAAGATCCAGATAATCACAAGGCAGATGTTTTCTCCTGATAAAACAAGCCCACACCCTACTGCAGCAAACACTTTATTACTGTTAGCCAAGCCGACCTTACTTAAACTGATTCCTCCAAGCATGATCAGTCTAGCATCGTGCTATTATGACTTTCCTCTAGAGGAAGCAGAGAGCCTCCAAGAAAGATGAAAACTTGAACAGGTGCCCCCAGAGACTACATATGTGCACCACCCCATAAGTGATGCCCATTGGCCCAGAAGTCTTCTTGATGAAATTCATTCTGAAAGGCTGAATGTGCATACATATGATTTCCATAACCCCACCTAGGTGGGGTCAGTTCCCAGAAACCCCTGCCTCTTTTGTGAAAATGTGCTTAATATTTAAAGCTCTATTAAAGTGTCACAGGGTCTATCAGATAAAACTAAGGCAAAGGCCCAGAAGAAACACAGCCTAATGTTAGTAAGACATACAATTCCTTCCATGGGACTTTGTTCAAGTATTTCTTCTGGCATCTTTCAGTTAAAAAAAGGGCATAATTCCAGAATACAGACCAAAATGTAAACTCTAGGCTAATTCAAAGAGGCTTTCAACCCCCCTGAATTATATAAACAAAACTAAGAAAAAGCAAATTTAGCACAAACTTTAAGAATGATCTTTAAGGGAGCTCTGGTGGTCTAGGGGGAAGAAATTGTACTGCAATTCCAGAGGTACATGGCTCGAATCCACCAGATGCTCTGCTGGAGGAGGGGCAATCTCCTCCTGTACCAGTCAGATCTGATTTGATGGTGCACACATACAGAATAAAAAAAATTTAAAAAAAAGAATGATCTTCAATACTATAGAACACATTTTTACTAAAAAAAAAAAATCAGTCATAATCCCTAAGGACAAGTGCTAAGCAAAATAAAACCTGGGTGAGAAAGGAGAGAATTTTAGGCAACTTTTGTTTTGGACAAATGCCAAGAATATATTAAGAAAAATATCAAGGAAAATCTTTTTACTGATAAAAGCAAAAGAAAAAACTTCTTTACCAGAAGTGACTAAGAACATGCATTACTTACCCAGTTGAAATTAGAAAATTATTTCAAAGAAGCAGAAATGTCACTGGTACAGGATCTATAATTTGGAAGAAATAAAAATTTGTATCTTCATTTTTCTACATAAAACCTGACCTAATTCTTACCATGTGATTCTATTTTCTTGGTAGTAGCATCTGGGACATCATCTAAGAAGAAATCTGGTATCAAAGGCTGGCCTGAAAAATGAACCCCAGAATAATCATGTTAACATCTAGAATGTATTAAGACATTTCCACACAACACTGCCTCTGTTTTCTTTTTTTAGTGAGTTTTTTAGTGCATTAGAAAAGATTACCACGTTCATTAGCCTGATGTATTTTCTCCTACAAGCGAGTTACCCTTACTTATGATAATGTTTAACTTCAAGAAGCAGAGAAAGCTCTGGTGGCCTAGTGGCAAGAAGCTGAGCTGCAATAATGAAGGTGTGTGGTTTGAATCCAACAGATGCTCTGTTGGAGAAGGAAAGACAATCTCCTTTTGTGCCAGTCAGATTCGACTTGCTCATATACAACAAGGAAAAAAAAATTTTTTTTTAAAAAAGAGAGAACCAATCAAAGGTACCTTATGCAAAGGAACTTCTGTCCCAGAAATCTTTGCTCTTCTTATCTTTCCTTGCAATCTTATGACCCTAAATGCCTCCCACTAAGGACTTCTTTCTTACACTATCCCCAGAAAGAAGGGTCAATCTTTAAGGACCTCTTGTTTCTCAGCATCACTGTATTCTTTTCTCCCATTTCCTCTCACTATCCTTATATCTTTAGGTCTTATTTTCAACTATGTAGACATGGACAGAAAATGAGTTAACAATATTAACTTTACACTGGTATCTCTAAGAGACATGTCACAAAGCCTTCAAAACTGCAGTATGGTTATAAACAACCACTCTCTTACAAGGTTTGTTTCTTTAAAAAAAAAATCTGAGGCCAGGAATGCATTGATCTTGGTTCTACCCTAACATTTATCAGAGTTCCTACTCATAAGCAAGGAAAACCAAGACAAATGGTGATTTCCAGGGAATGTTGAGCCTATAGATGCTGAAGGAGAGACAAAGACTTTCCTTCAGAATCAAAACAATCAGAATATCTTCATGTAGGTCTGGCACCCTGAATTTGGACATCTAGCATCTTAAACTATGAGAGGGGGAAAAAATCTTAAAAAAGTAAAACAGAAGACACATAAAATCCCAATAAAGAACCCAGTCATAAGTTCTCAGCATTTGATAGGATTTTGACTTTAGATTAAATTTTCAATGTTATGCACAATCATAAAGTATCTTTTCTCTCTAAAGTAATTACTGTGATAATTAGATTGTACCAGGATCTAGAAGAGCCGGGTCTGGTTCAGTTCTGTTGGCCCTTTGCTCTTAGATAAAGGCTTAAACTCCATAGATAGCTTTTTTTTTCCCCATTGGTTAACAAATAATCCTTTATTGAAATATTTTCATCTGTAGTTCCTTAGCTAGCTGGGCATTCCACAGCACCACTGTTGATGTCTTCTATTATGTCATGAGGGTGACGGCCATCAACATTGCAGCCCACAGATTGGGCAGGTCCCAGGATCTCTTTAATAGTTCCAGAGAGTTCTCTGGCTACAGACCGGTGTTACATCTGCCGGGCAATGCCAACAATCTCATCAAAAGTGATATTTCCACTGTGCTTAATATTTTTCTGCTTCTTTCTGTCTCTGGGTGGTTCTTTTAGGGCTTTGATGATCAGGGCAGAGGCAGAAGGCACCACTTCAATCTGGGCCTGTCTGTTCTGAATGGTCAGTTTCACTGTAATCCTTAGTCCCTTCCAGTCACCGGTGGCCTTGGCAATGTCATCACCAACCTTTTATGGAGACAGACCCCGGAGGCCGATCTTGGGGGCCAGAGCGGAAGTGGCACCGACTTCCCCACCGGTACACGACTTTAATCTCGTTGGGGTCGAACTTTGGCGGCATGGTGGAGGCGGCTGGTGTCGGATGAACCCGGATGCGGGACGACCGAAGAAAGTTGCACCGAGGCCTCCTCGAGCCGAAAGCCGAAAGACAGGAAGGCCTGTGGTCGCGCCGGATATAGGTATCTTTTTTTAACTTATAAATACTGACTACTGAATATTTTGAGTACGTTATATGCCAGGCACTTTGCCAGGCATGTTATACACATTATAACATCTGTATTCAAGGTATCATATTCTTCTAATTTTATCAATTCGAAAAGGACGAACAGGAAAAGGAGTTAAAGTGCTCAAAGCTACAAAATGAGTGAGCAGCAGAGCTGGAATGGGAACCCAGAATATCTTCATTAAAACCTCATGTTCTCCATCACTAAAAATATTACTTTCCTCACATAATTGCTTAGAAGGTTAAACAGATGATGTATATAATAAGTGTTTTGTAAAATTGTAAAAAACTGATTTCATTCAATTCAGTATGAATGGAAAAGAAGTATACCTTTCTTACATGCTAATCTTTTTGTTTTAGCAAAACAAAGGGAAAAGGTTTAATAAGGCATTAACAGGCATAGCTAGTGTAAGGTGGACCATGCAAAAGAGTTAAACTGAAAAGAAGGAAGAGGGCAGAATCCCTGGAAAAAAGCAGGCCTTACGCATGTCACCATGGAAAAAGAGATTGAACTTTACCTACTAATCTCACATTCATAATCCCTGCCTGCAGCTACATTAGAACCCTTAGGTCTGGCATCTGACCAGTGAACTGGAGACAAGCACATGAGCAGTGACCATGAGCTAATTATCTATCTATCTATCTATCTATCTATCTATCTATCTATCTATCTATCTATCATCTCTTCACTGTGTTTGCTTCTCTAGAGAACCTAGCCTAAGAAAAGCCTTCAATTTAATTCTGGGCTTTGTGGTTGACGTTTGTTAGGTTTTTTGGGTTGTTTTTTTTTTTTATTTTCTACATTGTAGAGATATGGGTTTTTCCATTCACCGAGTAGTACTTTTAAAAATATATATCATTTACATCAATTTTTTTTAAAAATGTAGAATTGTGGGAGCTCTAATGGCCTAGTGGCGAGAAGATGCACTGCAATCCCAGAGGCACGCAGTACGAATCCACCAGATGTTCTGCTGCAGGAGGGACAATCTGTGCCAGTCAGATCTAATTTGATGGTACACACAAACAAAATAATAACATTTTTTTAAAATGTAGAATTGTGAAGGAGGAAAAAGATATTTATATCAATTTGTGTGATACAAAACAAATAGGCATTTACTGAAGAAACTAGGAAAAATCATACATCTACTTTAAAAAAACTATAAGCATTACCTGGTTTAATGGCATAGACATCAAAATTTTTTATTCCTTCTTCTTTTAAGATATTTTCATCAATAATAAAATTACCAGTAAAATTTTTTGGCTTTTTGAAAATGGAATATGCAGCATCTGCAATGATATCAACTTTTCTACACTGGCTTTCAATACCAGATCCTCCCAGCATGTCCATAGCAGCAGTGTGTATGGCTGTAAAGAAAACACACACACACAAACACAGTTCCAAATTAAAGAGCAGGACTATGAAAGTAACAAATAAGCAAGAGTCTCCACAATTCCCAGCTCTAATCTATTCATCTTCTAACTGATGAATCACAGCAACAGAGCTTAAGCGATTTATCAGATTTCCAAGAGACAGAACTGTGTAGAGAATGCACATTTCTTATTCTACGTGGTAGTGCCTTATACAGACCCTTTCTTTAGAATGATGGTAAAACTCAGTAAGAGTACTGACGGAGAATTTACCATTTAACATCTCAACTCATTGCCATCAGTAAGAAAACACCAGTGAGAAGGAAGAGGCAAACTTCCACTTCTTTGCCCTCCCTTCCAGGTACATCTGAAATGTGGTCCAGCTGACAGAGGGCAGCTGTAGTTGTCCGATGGTATTTATGGCTCTGCTGCCATTACAAGTTCAGTAACAGCCATTCTTAGAATCTCAACTTTAGTCCACCTGAAGGTCATCCAAATTGTACTCTTCTGCTTTGATCATACTTGCTCAAACCAATGAAACAGTTAAGGGGTAGTAGATATTTTTAATAGAAACCCTCAACTCTCTTCCCCTCCTCCTCACTCTCCATTTTGGCAGGGATTATAAAATGGGTCTTATTTAAAAATTATATTCCTGGAGGTGACCTGGTTGGGGAGCTGAAATTCTAGTCTTAGGAAAGGCAATGTGGCCAGAGTAGAGGAAGAATATCCAGAGACGATATTCAGCGTGCTGCTTTGATAATAATTATGTTATACTGTAAACTATCTTTCTTTAAAATGTAATACTGTTGGTTTAACCTGTGATTCCAGGTTAAAGTAAGAACCAAGTCTACATAGTCTATAGGGAATGAAAATGTGGGATTTTCTTAGGGAGAAAAACCTCCTTAAATCACAAAGCATATGAACACCCCCTCTCAAATCCATTTTCACTGTCTCGCTCATGAATGCAATATTCTAGCCAGTTTTTCTACCTCCTTTCTCCACAATCTTATAAGCTGTTCGATATTCAACTTCCTAATGATTAAATTTCCCAAACCTCAATCCTGACCCTATCAACTCACTGTTCCTATTTTCCCTCTCCTTGTTATTAGTCTATCATTATGAAAATTCTTCAATAACTCTCTATGGAATTTAATATCAAATTAAAGCTCCTAAACTCAGCAAAGATGACTTGGGGTTTAATTCATCCATCTCTCACCACACCCTCATATCCAGCCAACATTCTCGTCAACCTGAACTACCTGTACTTGCTCAAAAGCAGTGGGAAATCACAAGTACACACTGCAAAGTACATATACCATGCCAAACTCCCTGCAGGGTCACCACACTGTACTTTTCCATGTTTTAGCCTTTGCATATGCTGTATTCTCTGCCAGGAATAACTTGCCCAGTTCTCCTTTTAGCTAACCACAACACTTCCTATTCAGGTCTTATTGTCCTGACTTTTTTTTTTCTCCCCCAGAGAGAGGTAAGATTTTAATGCTGTACATGAAAAGGTGTAAGCTTCAATGCCTGTCCTGACTTTTTAAAGTGCTGTGTACATACATAACAGCAAACTCGGGTGGCCTAGTTGTTATTACTCAAAGGTGGGCAGTCCAACTCCACCGGCTGTTCTGCAGGAGAAAGATAGGAAGTCTCCTTCTATGAGACTGACAGTCTCAGATCACCTGCTGGAGGGTCAGCTATGCATTGTTTCCTCCTCAACAGCAATGAGCTTGAGGGGTTTTTTAGTTTTTCCATGCCATGTATTCCCAGGTAACACTGGACTGTAAATTTGCTTTACTATGTCTGTCTTCTAGTCTAGGACCTAGACTAGACTAGGATCATTTTTAAGTTCAACATCTCAAAGCTAAGGCAAATATCTTAAAATGAGTTGTCTTCTCCTGGATAACCTAATACTACCCTCTACATTCCTTGTCACACAATATTCTCCCTTTTTCTTCTATAAGCTTTATTTAGAGCATGAGTATGGAACTAGGCGGGAGGTAATCTCACTGCACATTTATTCAGTCAGTCACTCACCCGTCATCATTTATTGAATGTCTACAATGACCACAGTAAAATGAAGAAAGCAAATACAGACTTTATCCTCAAGCAGCATTTGTTCCAGCAGAGAGAGAGGCCCTAAACACTAACAATCATAAATCAATTGCTTAACTACAAATGGAGTAAATGATGTGAAGGAGAAGTTGGTGTAGGTACTGGCAAGTCACGCATGACTCATCGTGACCCAATGAATGATCTGAGCCCTGTCCTATCCAGTGCCATCTTCACATTTCTTCTGTTCTACTGTATTAGAAACAAAACAAAAGCTCTATTACTTATTGAACCACTATGTCCCTACACTAAACTGATCTTAAGATTCAATAAGTCTTTACACACAGTACGAAAATCTTTGTAGAAGCACCGTTTCCCCACTGGATGCATGTTTTTCCTTATCTTACTTAAAAGAACTGTATTTGCTATAGAAGCCTAAAGGAAAATATAAAACATGGTTCTGATCCCCAAGTGGCCCAGAGAAAAAAGATGTTTTGACAAGACGAGAGAAGAATTGAAGATAACTGACTCCTGAGGTGATCAGAAGAAAAGAGGCTGACTGCATAGTTGGCCACAACCACTGTGTTCTCTTAACGTGGTGCTATCTAAGTCTCACCACGTGCTCTCTCAAGTACACGGTCTCTATACTTTGGGGAGCTCCTGTGACCAAGTGTTAAGGAGTTGTGCTCCCAACCCAAAGGCATGTGGTTCAAATCTACTATCTGCTCTAAGGGGGAAAGATGGGCAATCTCTTACCACGTGAATTACTGCCTTTGAGAACACACTGGAGGGTCAACTGAGTCGTTTCTGACATCACGGTATTTAACAACTATACTTTGTGGGATCTAGAATCATGCTCACCTAAGTCTGACTCTGCTAAAGGCAAATATATAAGACCATAGCATCGATATGGAGCACATATAAAACTAAATGCCATCAATATTAACCATAAACATTTAACTAAAGAATTAAGACTAAAACAAAAGACAACTGGTCTTATAAGCATAAAACATTTGACTTGTTTCTCAACAGAGAATTTAATTTACTGACACTGACAGTCTATTCCTACCCCATGTCAGCCTAGATGTATCTCAAGAGTGTTAAGGACAATATATGATAATTTAAAAACAAAAATTTGGTGGGGGGAGAAAATGTGCAACAATGGGGAAAAATTAAAACTTTGACAAGCACTGTGGCATTTGGACAAGAACAAACTGGGAGGAGGGTAGAGAGAATAGTGCAACAATGAATGAGTGGAGGCCCAAAATCTCTGTAAAT